TCGCGTCATCGACAACGGGTCGGACACCCTGTGGTGGCAGACATATAGTGGCTATCATTTTGTTGTCAATCTCGATGTCTCTGTCGGTCTTAATCAACGCGATGTCGCCATACATGTGACCAGGGTCATTCACATAGCATGCAGATCGTACAAATAGGCTTCCATTATATGTCTTAGCCGTAAGTGAATTGATGTGAACGGTTCCCATCACTAACTGTACGTCTGATGGACCATAACCTGCGACTACCAGTGGATCGACACAATGGCCGGCCGTTAGGACCCATCGTTCGTTAAGTATAGATCCGCCGCAAAAGTGTTGGCGTTTGAACTGAAGGGATACCATAAATGGTAAGTCATTGGTATCGTCAGTCTGACTGGCTGCCTGTCCCCCCACTATTCTCAACTCAGGAACGCCTGTTTCGATGGCCGTCCGACCGATTAGACCACATTTGTCCGAAGCTTTCAATACAGTAACGGCTGAATAGTTAAGGATTTTTGGATTTATTAATGGGTTTATTATTTATATAATTTATTACCTGTCACTAATATAGCAAATACTTTTAAACATTTATTTTCCATAAATTATAAATTAATAGTTTGTTAAACAAATCAATAATTTCACTGTCAATAAAATTCAATCCGTTTATAACCAAATTATAGCAAAATAACAAATATTTATCAAAACCAAAATTTCGTTACAGTAATTAATTTGATAGAAATCACGAGATTTGAAAGTAATATAAGATAGAAAATACCGATACTTACTATAAATTACATATGAAATCACGAGTGAAACAATTAATTTAAAATAACGGGATTTCTATCAAATCATAATTGAATTCAATTTAACTCGAGTTGAACGCCAAAGTAAACAGTTTTATCACCAAATCTTATTGTCTATGAAATGTGAATTACAATTTCTTAACACTAATGTCAAAACTTAATTTAAAGCCAAAACCTGTGGGTACTTCGCTTACCACTCGTACTTCTACACCCCCTCCTACCCCCTCTCCTACGCTCACTCCTACGCCACCTCGTAGTACACCCACACCCGCAAGCCTTCCCCCTAATGATAATCGGGTGAATCAGTCGCCGGCGTCTCAACCAATTTCAATCTCATGGCACGCCATACGAGTATTAAGTCGGGTGTCCAAAAGGTTTTACGATTGCCGTAAGACTCAGGAGGAGCCCATAGATATCTTGAAGAATGGTATCTTATTATATGTCTGTAATTGTATTGATAATAAAAATTGAAATTTTTGTTTAAATAAGTTTCGGGAGAAGCAAAGGCGGGCCAACTGTTGGCAATAATGGGCTCGAGGTATGAGTGGTTTTGGGATTACTTCTGTATTTTAGGCTAACTATTTGTTTAATTGAAATGATGTGTGAATGTATGGGTTTAGTGGCGCCGGGAAGACAACTCTACTGAATGTGTTGAACGCAAGAAATTTGTCTAAATTGACGGTCAAAGGCACAGTTCGTCTCAATGGACAGGTAGTTGACGCCAATGCCATCACTGAGGTGTCAGCCTATGTTCAACAACAGGATCTGTTCGTACCATTGCTTACAGTTAGGGAACACCTTAAGTTTCATGTAATTATGGGAAGTCTATGTTAAAATCAATTCAATACTAATCTTATGTCGGAAAATAACAGTCATTATTGCGAATGAATCCAAATTTGACTAAAAAGGAGAGACAGGATCGAGTGAATCAAGTCATACTTGAGGTCTACTATTATCTGATGATACCTTTCCCTCTATTTATTTAAAGAAATTATTTTATTGAAACTTTAGTTCAGTTTAANTGCGGACACTCGGATCGGAAGCAGTACTACATTTAAGGGCATATCTGGGGGTGAATCCAAACGACTGGCCTTTGCATCGGAGGTTTGTTTGACAGTACTTTCCTCTGAACTCCATTGACTGTAATTACTGTTTAAAACCTCTATTTTCTTACAGATATTGACAAACCCGTCGATAATGTTTTGGTGAGTTTGAGAGAAGTCTTGTCATAAACTATAAGATAACTATTGAACCCATTGTCTAACCAGTGATGAGCCGACCAGTGGTTTGGACTCATTTATGGCCGAAAACATAGTTCAAGTGCTAAAGACTATGGCATCGAAGAGTCGCACCGTTATCTGTACTATACATCAGCCCTCGTCTCAAGTGTTTAAACTCTTTGAACAGTTATTATTATTGGCCGACGGAAGGGTTGCCTACATGGGAAAGACTGGTAATTAGATTTGATAACTATTTACAACTACTGTAATATTCTGTATTAAATCATAATTTATATGTCAGATGAAGCCATGAATTACTTCTCATCACTTGGATATGTAATACAAAAACAAATTCTTATAAATATATTACAAACTAATAAAATATTTTTCAACAGCAATGCCCTAAGAATTTCAACCCGGCTGACTTCTTTATCGAACAATTAGGTGATATTATCTGATAATCTAATTACCATAAGAATTATTATCATAATTTAAATATCATTTTTAGCTGTAATTCCCGGCAAAGAGATTGACTGTAAAATCAAAATGAATGTAACGTTTGAATGAATTTCTGAAATTATAACGAATAATGAATTGCTTTTGTATTCAATGAGCAGAATATTTGCGACA